TTTCTATGATCACTCTTAAAGAAACTTGGATATCACTGACTGCCTTTCAAATAAGGCGGAAAGATCTTAAATTTTAGACACTTCTTTGATGTCACGTTGATAGGCTATATGTATATCCCTGTTATGTTTTGATGATCTAACAAACTTACTGTCAAGAACCAGATAAAGACCTGTTACATATTCTCAAGACCTTAACATCAAAAGGTTCCAGCTTGGGATATGGTTCAACTCTTTAGAGTCAAAGGAACAACAGAGGGAACAAATAGCTACTAGTTCCCGTAGTGACTGTACAAGTCAACTCTCCACAACTATAAAGTTGTTGCCTGCACACGCAACAGTGCAAAAATAGTGCAGCAGTCAACTTTATGGGGAATGCCCTTTACCTAACTTGCTTACATCATTCAAGTGATTTCACAAATGAGTTATTTACATCAAGCAAAGGTAAAACAAAACACTTGCACATTCAAGAATCGATCAAGCATTTTTTCTTAAATATGTGCCAATCTTGCAAGTGATTCTCAAGGGCATCAAGAATAAAGAACAACATAACGAAGGACCAGTTTCATGTATTGAGTCATTACATGTCCCTAGTTGTGTTGCACCTTTGTTAAAGTTCTTTACTTGTAATTCCTACTTAGCTTAATTAGAAGCATTGTGTAGGAAACATTTGTAAATCATGAACCCTTGTGTTTGTATCTTGGCTAGAGTTATTCGAGTTGTAAGTCTTTGTAATAGAGTTATTACAAAGTGGCTTGTAATAGAGTTATTACAAGTTAGTGAGGAATTAAAAGGTTAATTCCTAGATTACAATATGTTATAATCTAAAGTTTGCTCAGTAGTGAAGTTGAAATCCTACAAGGGTAGGTCATGGTTTTTAATCCTGTGAGCTAAGAGTTTTCCACATAAAACTTCCTTGTGTCATTTATTTACTACAGTGTGCGTGTGTTCTGTGGGAACTGATAGAGAACCTGGTTCTCTATATAGTTTGGTGGACCCTTAAATTCTACCAATTGGTATTAGGGCAGGCTCTTTCTATCAGGCTAACACCTACAAAGGATCCTCATGGCTGCTCCACCAAACTTTGAAGAAGGTCAGTCCACCTACAGGCCACCAAGGTTCAATGGTCAGTATTATGGATGGTGGAAGACAAGGATACACGATTTTATCATGGCTAAAGATTCCGAGCTCTAGGAAGTCATCTGTGATGGACCCTTCGTTGCCACAAAAACCAATGGTGACCCTGCTGTAACTATTACCTAAACTAGAAAAGAGTACAATGATGCTGACAACAAGGCTATTGAGAAGAATTTCAAGGCAAAAAAGATTCTTGTGTGTGGCATCGGACCAGATGAATACAACTGCATCTCTGCTTGTCAGAGTGCTAAGGATATCCGGGAAGCTCTTCAAATAGCACACGAGGGACAACTCAAGTCAAACAGTCGAAGATCGACATGTTAACAACTGAGTATGAGCTCTTCTGAAGGACGATGAGTCCATTCAGGACATGCACACTCGCTTCACCTCTATCATCAATAAGCTTCACTCACTGGGAGAAATCATTCCTAGGAACAAACTTGTCAGGAAAATACTTAGTGTATTACCTGGTTCCTGGGAAAGCAAGGTAAACGNACCAGAAGTGTGCTCTGTTCCGATGGTCCGATGATTGCAAGGTGAGCTTTCAGAAGCTCAAGACCGCATTGACTTCAGCATCAGTTTTAGTGTTGCCTTCCGGTTCAGGGATGTATACTGTGTATTGCGATGCTTCACGCGTTCGTTTCGATTGTGTATTGATCATGTCAGTTGAAGCCCCATGAGATAAATTACCCTGTACACGATCTGGAGTTGGCTGCGATTGTTCATGCTCTTAAGATCTGGAGGCATTATCTTTATGGGGTGTCTTGTGAGNTGACCTGCAAAAGCTAACCATCGATGAACTTGCTGGCAATCTGAAAACCTATGAAATGAAGAAGAAGAAGAAGAAGAAGGAGGAGGATAATGAGATAAGAGAGCCCAAAAGGGAGAAGAATTTGGTCCTCAAGACAGACAACAATGTTTTAGGTGGTGATATGGCTTATTTGACAAGAAGATTTCAGAAAATGGTTTGCAGAAATTGAGGCATTCCAAAAAGGGGCAGTTTTAGCAAGACAAAAAATTATGACCTATGTCATAAATATGGAAAGCTAGGACACTTCATCAAGGACTGTCCCCTACTAAAGCAAGATTAATTCAAGCACAACATAGATAAAGCAGCCAAGAGGAACCCGATTCCTGATAAACACTTCAAGAGAAAGAATGTCACTGACAATGCTGTGAAGTAAGATCTTGGTGCATGGGGAGACCCCTCCAGCGAATCTGAAGAAAATAATGATGATGGTGACAGTTCAATGATGGCAGTAGAATGTGAAGCAACTGAGTATGACTCCATTTTTGCCTTGATGGCTCAGTCTGATGATGATGAAGATGACGACGATGATGATGAGGTAAATTTTCTGGATGTTCAGAGAAATCTGAAATCTTATTCACCTAAAAAACTCATGTCTTTGGCAAATGTTTTAATAGATGCATACCACTGTCTTATAAATGATAAAAATGCTCTAATTGTGGAATGAGGAGAAGCAGAACAATATAGAGATGACCTAGTAGTTGTTGTGATAGATTTGAAAGAAACTATTGAGAGTTTGAAAGAAGAAAAAGATGTCTTGACCAAAAGAGTTGCTAACACTGAGCTTGAGAGAGATGACCTACTAGCAGTAGTAGTTGATCTGAATGACACCATTAAGGAACTGAAAGGAGAGGGTACGCATGAGACTCTTCACAAAAGTAAGGAAGTTGCTAATAAAACACATCTTAGGCTTGAAGATGAGATGAAGACAGTGAAGTCTAGACTGTGTATTGAACTTGAAAAGAACAAACAACTTCAAGAAGAACTAGGAAGAGTAAAGAGTGATCTTGAAAAATCACTCAAGTGGACCTGGTCCTGTGATGCTATCACTGCCATGTACACCAATAATGGGGGAAACAGGCAGGGGATTGGGTTCCAAAGGGAAAATATTCCTTACAATCCTCATAGCAAGTATGTTACTGTACCTAATAATTGGCTTTGCATTCACTGTGGTAACACTGGGCACTTTAAAGAAAACTGTAAGGCCAGGTTTCAGTCACAACAAAAAAACAAAGTTTTCGCTGAAAAAGTAACTACTGGTAGAGAACCTGGTCCCTCATATAAAAAATGCATGATGCCTACTTGGACCAGAAGATCCCTCATTCACCCCTTTCCTCATTACAAGGGACCCAAATTCGTTTGGGTTCCTAAGTCTAACTCTTGATTTTCTTGTGCAGGGAACAGTGAAAGGAAGCAGCCTACAATGGTACATGGATAGCGGCTACTCAAAGCATATGACTGGAAGTAAAAATGATTTCTTTTCACTTAAGGCCCTTCAAGTAGGGAGTGTTCCTTTGGAAATGGCAAGAAGGGATACATTCTGGGAGTTGGAAGGATTGGGAAGTCTCTCACACACTCAATCAAAAATATTTACTACGTAAACGGGTTGAAGTACAACTTGTTAAGTGTTTCCCAGATCTGTGACAAGCGAAACAAGGTGGAATTTGTGTAAAAAATATGTACAGTCACAAACCTAGTGACTGGTGAGATGGTGCTAGTAGCAAAAAGATACAAAAATATCTATGTTGCTGATTTTGAGTCTCTGCAGAATGGTGATCTCACTTGTCTAAGTGTTGTTGATGATGATGATGAACTATGGCACAGAAGGCTGGGTCATGCAAGTTTCACGTTGCTGAACAAGTTGGTCAAGAAGGACCTGGTTCGTGGCCTGCCCAACTCAAGCTTCAAGGATCACAAGGTGTACGATGCAATGTGTTGAGGAAAGTATACATGTGATCTTTGATGAATTTCACCATTCATGTGGGAAGGATTCACATGATAAGATTGATCAAGAGGGAAAATAATCAGCTGTCCCTAATGAAGTCATTGACATGGCAAATAGAAAAACTGACATGATGATTCAGGTCAAGGATTCAAATGACAATGGCACAGCTGAATCTCCATCTGACATAGAGGAACCCGATTCCTCAATCACAACAACTGAAGCTAAAAACAGAGTTGCTGATGCAGATCAAGGGACCCCACATGTAGAGAGAGAATCACATTCAGAAATACCTGGACCATCCCACAACAAGGTTCGGGTGTCTAACTGGAAACACAAAAGTTCACATCCTCTGGAAAATGTGATCACTCCTCTTGATTCAGGAATTCAAACCAGATCAAAGGCAAGAAACGCGCTTGCCTTCTCAGCCTTTCTCTCTCTAATAGAGTCCAAGAATATCAAGGAAGCATTAAAAGATGCTGATTGGATTACAGCTATGCAAGAAGAACTCCATCAATTTGAAAGAAACAGTGTATGGAACCTGGTTCCACGACCTGCTGACAGAACTGTTATAGGAACCAGGTGGGTATTCAGATACAAACTTGATGAATTTAGAAACACAACGAGAAACAAGGCAAGGCTGGTAGTCAAGGGTACAATAAGGAAGAAGGGATTGACTATGATGAATCATTTGCTCCAGTTGCTCGAATGGAGGCAATCAGAATCCGCATTGCCTTTGCGTCTCATATAGAATTCAAATTGTTCCAATTGAATGTCAAAAGTGCATTTCTGAATGGCTTTCTAAAAGAAGAAGTCTTTGTCAAGCAACCTCCTGGATTTGAGAATCATGAACATCCTGAGCATGTTTTCAAACTTGACAAGGCACTATATGGGCTAAACCAGGCTCCTCGTGCTTGGTATGAAAGGTTGTCCAAATTTCTTCTAGAAAATGGCTTTACAGGAGGAAAAATTGACAACACCTTATTTCAGAAGAAACGAGGGAGGAACCTGCTCATTGTGCAAGTTTATGTTGATGACATTATTTTCGGAGCAACAGTTGACTCTTTGTGTGAGGAATTTGCAAAACTCATGGGAAGTGAGTTTGAAATGAGCATGATGGGGGAATTGAATTTTTTCTTGGGTTTACAAGGGAAGCAATCTCAAAAGGGGACTTTGATAAGTCAGCAGAAGTACGTCAAGGAGCTGCTGACGAGATTTGACATGGAAGCATCAAATATCATTGACACTCCCATTGCCACAGCCACTCATCTAGACATGGATGAACCTGGTTTCCCTGTGGATCAGACCATGTATAGAGGTATCATAGTGTCACTCCTATATCTCACATCAAGCAGACCAGATATTATGTTCAACGTGGGTCTCTGTGCAAGGTTTCAATATAATCCAAAGGAATCTCATCTGAAGGCTCCCAAAAAAATATTGAGATATCTCAAAGGAGCGCAGGACCTGGCTCTCTACTATCCCTCAGGAGACAACTTTGATCTTGTTGGGTATGCTGATGATGATTATGCAAGGTATCTGGTGGATGGAAAATGCACGTCTGGAATGGCACATTTTCTGGGTTCATGTCAAATTTCGTAGGGTACAAGAAAACAAAACTCAGTGGCATTCTCCACTGCAGAAGCAAAATATGTGGCAGCTGCATCTTGCTGTGCTCAACTACTATGGATTAAGCAGCAGCTGGAAGACTTTGGAGTGTTCTCTGATTGTGTGCCCTTGCTGTGTGACAATACCAGTGCACTCAACATGGCCAAGAATGCAGTCCAACATAAGAGAACAAAGCACATTGATGTGCATCACCACTTTCTCAAAGACAATGTTGAAAAAGGGCTCATATGTATGAAATTTTGCAGCATAAAAGATCAAATTGCAGACATATTCACCAAAGCACTAAACAGAGAGCACTTTGAAAGAAATCTCTTGGCACTAGGGCTGATAAAACCAAACTGAGAACCTGGTCCCTCGATATTTGGCTATGAAAGAAATATACAGGTAGTTTAGCTAAAAAGTGTTTTCTGGCAAAGTCTAACTCATTTCTATACCGTTACAGGTAAACACACATGATAATTACAGAGCAAACAAGCAGCTAATGCATTGCACGTTGGTCAAAGGATGAAGCTTACATTTGCAAAATCCGTCAGGGAACCTGGTTCCTTTGACACATGTTAGTAGTTTCTCTGTACAATCATGCACAATTTTTTAAACGGCTAAAACGATACCACATCATTATATTGTTAGTTTCTTTTTGCTTCTTGAATTAAAGCGTCTCACTTTTTATGAAGCGACCCGACTACCCAAAATTGATACCCAACCGGTCTCTAACTCCTCTCAAATAAATCCATTCATAGTCACTTTCAGAACTGTTCATATCACGAATCCAAAATTTCCCTTTTTCCTTCTTCAAACTCTTTTCTTCAACTAACTACACTCAACCATGTCTGACAATCAAGAAACACAAAATGTTCCAAGCATCGTCTCCACTGTGTCCTCATGCATTGAAACACCAGTGATAGAGCCCACACTCCATGTTCCGACTAGTCCAAACCCTAAGCTAGAGTCACAACCACCCTCTGCTTCCTCTCCAACCCAGTCGAGTTCTGGTTCTCATCGGAGTCGCAAAAATATCGGCTCCCAGAAAATTTATGGTTGTAACCTCTACTTCTGCCTAGCCGAAAAAGATGGTTGACAAAGACACAGTGGATAGAGATGAAAATCAAGAAATTTCTAGTCTACCAGTGGAAGAAAGTTCTGCTAAAGAACAAGGTGTGGGTCATACCAATGATGAATCGACAATGGCAGCCCCGGGCTTTGATCCTACAGGTAATGATCCTCTTATGCCTTCTAAAGTTACTTTGGAGTCATAATAACAGGAAGCTATAGAAAATACGCTTTCAATTGTTGCTGAGGGAAGTCTGATTGGAGGTTATGAGGCTGTGTCTGAATTTCAGGGGAAGATAATGGTACAGAGGTAGAGGATAGGGAAATAGTGCATGTCAAAACCTTGGTACCTAACAGTACTACTGGGGAACCAACTGAGGGACCTGATCCCTTCGCCCCAGAAGAGCCCTCTGGCTCTAACAGGGATAAAACCCCTAGTTCTTCATAATAACCCAGGTCAGTACTGATCCCGCCTCCTCTCCTTATTTCTACGCTGAGCCATTTTCAATTGTGGTTCCTACGATGCGATCTCTATTTGAGGAGGAGAATGAGAATAGTGAAGGAGAAGATTATAATAATGTGGCACTGGTGAGCTTCATTAATGCTAGGAGTAGAAAGGCACCTCCCCAGGGGTCTACTTCTAAGAGACCTATCACAAGGTTGCACAAGAAGGAAGACTTTGAGTCAGTTTTTAGGAAAAACAAAGAGGGAAAGAAGAAAAGGAGATTGGTGAAGGATGGGAAGATTGTAAATGAGAGGTTAGTAGCTCCAACACCAGTTATCGATATTGATGATGAGGTGGATAAGGAACCTGGCTCCTTAGTTTGTAAGTCCTCAAAGAAACTTACAATTCCAATGTCCAAGACAGAGTCATCTGTAAGTGGTATGGGTTTGAAGAATGATGAAGGTGAAACATCTGGTGGAAAGGTGGTTGAGAAACTTGAAGAGAAGGAGACTGCAGAACTGGTTGAAAAAGTGTCTAAAAAAAAGGGTGTCTGAAACATCTGAGGAGAAAAGAAAGAGTGCTAGAAAGTCAGTGAAAAGGAAGGCCGATGCCAGTGAGGAACCTGGTTCCTCCAAGAAGACCAAGGTTGGTGATGCCTAGGATGCTCGCAAGGAAAAATTGAAAAATCAACAGGTGTTGTGGGGCCATTTATTTGCCCCTGATATTCTGGACATGGCTGGCATGCGCCAATTAGTGGAGATCTATGAATTCCAACAGTGGACACACCTGTTCACAAGTGATAGTCCTAGAGTTTATGAGGAAGAAGTGCGTAGTCTTCTGTTCAAGGAACCTGCTCTTTGAACTTTAGAAATACTATCTTAAAGGATAAGGCAGTTCAACAAAGGGAACGTGTACACAAGAAGGCCCTCCTTCCAGTGTACCAACTGCTGTTCGAATTGGTGAACAAGGTTTTGCTCCCTCGTGCAGAAAGAAAGTCCATTACATCTCGAGCAGACCTGGTTCTGATGGAAGCACTGAATGGCTACATAACTATCAAACTGCTTGACATCATGATAGACCACATGCAGAAGGTGGTAGAGTTCAAGGATGGTAATCATGGGCTGCCTTACGGGTTCCTCCTCACTAAGGTTTTTGAATTCTTCAAAGTCCCTTTGGGAAAAGCTAAAGTGGGTACTCATAAGCAAACATTCTCCAAGACCACCCTCAAGGAATGTGTGTGCATTGACAAGGTTGGAGGGGTTGGGAGCACTTCTACTATCTCCCAGTTGATCAACGCCCAAAACAGTGCCACTAATGAGATAAGAAAACTAAAGGCAAGGAATTCCATTCTTGAGGGTCAGCTAAGTCAGCTTCAGGAGGCACCTGGTTCCAGCAGCTCTCACAGCACAAAGGCCGCCCATCTGACCAAAGAAAATGCCGACCTCAGGAAACAGGTTGAGGACCTGAAGGAGAAACTGCTCAATGAGCAGATGCCAGTTAATGATCGAATGGACATCCTTCTTAAAACCCTTGCCTATTCATCTAAGCCTTTCCCTTCCGGTGCTCCCTAGAAAGTGTTCCGTTTCCAGTGTCAAATCTTAGTGTCTGTCCTTTATTTTAGTTCTGATGATGTTTATGACTGGTACTTCTGCTTTTGCTGTTTTTATTTTGTGGATGTGTTGGTAACAATAGGACTGCTCCTTGCTTAATATCCAAATGTTAATGAAAGCTCCCTCCTTTTGTTGTGTATGCCTTGCTCATTTTCTCTATTTTTAGTCATGTTGTGTGCACACAAGTGGCATAAGTTAACTCAAGCTAGACTTCTTTCTGCTATAAGCCTATTACTAATCTTTTTATGATGCCAAAAAGGGGGAAAATAATTCAGGGAGAACATAAGGGAAACAGATTCAGGGGGAATTCAGGAAATGCTGGTTCTTAGGGAGAACTTGAATTATAAGTTTATCATCATCAAAAAAGGAAAAATTGATAGGCTATATATATATCCTTGTTATATTTTGATGATCTAACAAACTTACTCTCAAGAACTAGATAAGGAACCTGTTACACATTCTCAAGACCTTAAGATAAAAAGGTTCCAGCTTGGGATATGGTTCAACTCTTCAGAGACAAAGGAACAACAGAGGGAATAGATAGCTACCAGTTCCCGTGGTGAATGTACAAGTCAACTCCCCACAGATGTAAAGTTGCTGCCTGCACACGCAATAGTGCAAAAACAGTGCAACAATCAACTTTATGGGGAATGCCCTTTACCTAACTTGCTTACATCATTCAAGTGATGTCACAAATAAGTTATTTACATCAAGCAAAGGTAAAACAAAACACTTGCACATTCAAGAATCGATCAAACATTTTCTCTCAAGTCTGTGCCAATCTTTCAAGTGATTTTCAAGGGCATCAAGAACAAAGAACGACATAACGAAGGAGCAGTTTCATGTATTGAGTCATTACATGTCCCTAGTTGTGTTGCACCTTTGTTAAAGTTCATTACTTGTAATTCCTTCTTAGCTTAATTAGAAGTATTGTGTAAGAAACCTTTGAAAATCATAAAGCTTTGTGTTTGTATCTTGGCTAGAGTTAGTCGAGTTGTAAGTCTTTGTTATAGAGTTATTACAAAGCTGCTTGTAATAGAGTTGTTACAAGTTAGTGAGGGATTAAGAGGTTAATTCCTAGGTTACAATAGGCTGTAATCTAAAGTTTGCTCAGTAGTGAAGTTGAAATCTTACAAGGGTAGATCATGGATTTTAATCCCATAAGCTGGGAGTTTTCCACGTAAACCTTCCTTGTGTCATTTACTTACTGCAGTGTGCGTGTGTTCTGTGGGAGCTGATAGAGAACCTAGTTCTCTATATAGTTTGGTGGACCCTTAAATTCTATCACACATTATTGTATTATTGGTCTACAGATGCATATTCAATATAGGGTTGTCACATTCTACAGGGCTCTATGCATTAGATGCCCCTTTGTTTACTGTGCACCAATTATGTATGAAACTGGCCCCAATCCCACCCGTGCAAAATGCTAAGTTGCTCGGGCTCTTCACTTTTGGTGCCGCACCCGTGTCAACACGATGTGGGTGTGAGTGTGGGATTCGTACCGGATGTGGTCAATCGATTTGGGTACTTTGACCAAAATCAATGGAGAAATTCAAGACAGATCAATGATTTCTAAAATCAAAACAAAAGCTAGAGTGAAATTGAAGAAAATAGAATACTTTGTATACAAAGATTTTTTATGTCGGTCCTTTTCCTTTTATCTCCTCGGATTTCTCATGATCAATATTTTCTCTTTCTCGGAATACCTTATAAATTTTTCGCATAATGTCTCATAATTTAGACATTATTATAACTCTATTTTTAGATTTTGAAGTTATCTTCAGCCGAATCTCAGCACCCGTATCCGTACCTGGATCCATACCTCCCAATCTTAAAATTTAGATCATGAAGGATCTGACCTCTATATCTGCACCCATATCAGACACCTGCACCTGAGTCGGAGCAACTTAGACAAAATGACCACCAGACTTTTGGATCAGAACTGCTGATAAAAACGAGTACGAATTCAAGACATGATAAGTAATCCATTCTAACAAATCGAAGTATGTTTTTACTGGTCGGATTGGTATACAATCGTAGACTGCCACAAGATGAAAGTCTAGTTGGTAAATGATAGACCATGTAATTTCATTCACAGTCTACCATGTGATTTCATTCAGTCATACTGAATCTCATTCTGTTTTGAAGTATGTCAAGCTTCAAAATTTGCTTTGGTTAATTCCTACATGATGTGTTTTTTACGATCTTAAGACTCTAGCAGTAACATATATTTG